ATGCTTATACTGAGAGAGAGAAGCAACAGCAGAACATTAAATATTTCACATTTATTTAAAAGTAGTCAAACTGAACAGATAAGCTGGACTTTGTCAGGTTGTCTAGAGTTGGTTTAAGTCTGAAATGGGCTAGATGACTACTTAATGCTGGGTCTGTGGTCTATACAAGAAGAGGAATATGTATTGCACTTGCAGCTCCAGAGAGTAAGTCTGGATTGCTCAATAAGATTTAGTATCAGATCTGACGTTGCAACGCTCAGAATTCCCACACAGTTAATTTTAAGTGTCTGTTTTTTTCAAAATAATTTTGAATACAGTTGCTTAGCAATGAAGTCTTTCAGCTATGGGTTCCCCATGATTGCCTGTATCACCAAGTTCCGTTTCCTTTCAAGTAGATTTAGCTGTTGTTTTACATCGGCTAGTTAAGGATGCAGGAATGGAGATGCCCAGCTTATCTTCTCCTGAAAGGGAAGGGAAACAAGTCTGGACCCATGACGCAAGGAAGACATTCAAACAAGCCTCCTGCCTTTTGAAAGTATGCTCTGAACGTTGACTGCAAGACAGGTATACCAGCTCCACGTTTTACAAGGAAGTATGACAGGCATGAACATTTCCAAGCTACAAACCCCTGTGAGAGAGGGGAGAGAACACCTCGAAGCAGGACTGGAAAAGCTTAGGTGGGGCAAGGCAGTTGCCCATACAACATGCTGGCTTTTGCGGATTGCCAGTTAGAGATGCCCAACTCTTCCTGCCTAGTACATAAAAAACCCAAGTGCCTACCAGGGCTGGAGAAATTTGACAAATAGAGGCTTAAGCACTGTCCCTTTTAGATCTGGCCTTAGCCTACTTGCTTCATTAGGAGAAGCACCAAGAGGTGAGTGAAGTCAGCTGAGTTTTCACATAGCTCCTTATTCAAATACCTCATTTCTAGTTTAAGCAGCCTATCAAAAAAATACGGAAAGCTTTTTAAGCTGTAAGTAAAAACTCTCCAACATTTATTTCAGCCCTAAATTGCTGGAGCACAAGGACACAGAGAGTGAAACTGCATGGCTCTAACAGTCCTTCCTGCCTTGAAAGACAAAATAAAAAAAAAAACCACTGAGAGTCTACTAGCATGGCTGGCTAGGAAGCGAGTCCTACTTCACTGGGAAAGCAATTATCACAAAATGCAACTGTTTCTCATTGTTTCCACACAATGCTAGCTGCTGGACAATAGCCTGAACTTGCACAACTACAACAGAGAAGAACATCACCTAATACAATTAAGAAGTAGTTCTCTCTTTCCTTCTTTCTTTAAGACCGGGTATGAGATACCTTTAAAAGGAGGTAATCACAAAACACTCTCTGAAATTCTGCTTAGAATATCAGACAGTCCAGCACATACTGCCATCAACTATGTATTCAAGGTTGGAAAGGCTGATCCCTCATACAAGTTTTCTTCAGCAATATCTTTAAAGGCTCTTTAATGGTGAAAAAACTGTAATAAAGCTAAATGTTATTTTCTTGTCCTAACACGAAATAAGATAGAAAGGGGTAAGCAGTAGTTGTAACTCTGCCATTTAAAAGCTTCTGGCAGAAAACTGGGAAGGCCTCCTGCTACACAGGAGCATCTCTGCCTTTTAGTGTCAGTAAATCATCCATTACAATAACACTGCAATAGTAACCTAGCCAGCTGCCTAATAGTTCTCCCCAGCACCTACTCTGCTTTATGTCTTAGGCTTCAGTTTCCTTTTTGCCTGGAAGACTTTCAATTCTAGACAACCTCAGCCCCATTCCTGAGTACCCGGCCAAGTACTTGGCTTCCCAGTTTCTCAGGACGTGCACAAGAGAGGATCCCATATCCATGGGCTCTGCCCTTGCAAAAAGAGATGTTCTTACAGCCAGCAGAGGGAGCAGCCAGTTGCAGCACAGGCATATTTTTGCAGGGTGGGTGTAGAAAAGCAGGTATTCACTGATCTCTCCTAGTCTAGGGGAGGCAGAAGGCTGCTGATTTAAGAGTAGGAGTTTATGCAAATAACAGAATACATATTAAGCACCTATGTTTAGTATATTCAAATCACCCGAATAAATAAAACTTTCAATCTGAAGCAAAACTTTTGTTTGCAAAGATGAATCAATTCCTGCAGAATGCAAGAACTCCTCCCCCCAGCTGCTCAGAAAGGCCCTGAAAAGCAATACTATCTTTTTTCTCCCCCTTTAAGTCTCAGAGCTGAAACCAACAGGACCAGAAGGAAGAAAGTAAAACCAAGAGCCAGCCAAAGCAGGGCACAGGAAGGGAAAGAAAAGGCACGAAGAGAAGGCAAGTTACAAGCTAACAGCGTGGATAGCTGAATGAGAATGGGGATAGTCGTATTCCTCTGACTGCACTTATAAACAGCCAGCTCGCTCTTTCCTGGCCATAGCTTCTGCCTGCCCTGTGTCAGGTCTTTATTGCTAAACTCCACCTGTGTTTTTGTCCTGGCCTCTACTCCTGTCCTGAAAAGCTTACACGCTTTCAAGGCCAAACAGTGCAACAGTTCAATGCAAGGATGGCTGTTGCTGCTGCTTTCCCTTTCCTTCTAGATGTGCACAAAACTCAATCCATGGAGCCAACATGACAAACACGTCTTATGGTGCCTGTTATTTAAACACCAGTTTGCTTTAGCAAACCCACGAGGGGATCCTCTGCCTTGCAACATGCAGTCTTTCTTCTGGCCTTAAAAATCCATGAGAACCTGGAAGTTTTAGGGACTACGGTCTGAGAACAGTCAGGTTAAGATATTTTGAACCGAGCAGGAATAGCTAGAAAGTTTGCTGCACTGAAGAGAAAAAGTGGACATGCGTGGCCACCATTACTGTTTCACATCACCAGTACAGATTCTCATTCCAACCACCAAACTGTGTTACTGTCATCGCTGTTCTAAACACAGAGAGGTGCGTTTTTAAAACATACTCTCTACGTTTTGCTAATGGCATGGCACAAGGATACTAATGTTTCACCTTGCCTGGTATATCACTACACATGCAAGTCTCGGGAAAGTAATTTCACAACTTAAGCTTCCAACTGAAACTGCTCCCAAAAACCTAAAGGGAGTAGGGGGCAACCGTCTTACCATTTTCAGTATGTAATGTGCCATTGCGTGGAGATGTCGTGTTGACGATCCACTCACAATTATAAAATAATTGCAGTATTTTATTTCTGGAGGTACCTGGATGACACAAATGTCTTTAGCATTTTCTTGCCTCAGCAGAGCTACAACAAAGTCAATGTTGAACTTGGAAAGAGCATCATCTGGAATAGACCAAAACAAACAAACAAAATAATTGAACAGTTGTAATTTCCCTTCTTAATTCCAAAAATAAAGCACTTAAATGTTACTAAAGAAGCAAAACAGCAATGAAGTAATTAGAGCCCAAGCTAGCCACTCACTACCGAGTCTGGTTTGATGCTGACAATGAAATATGAACTGCAGATTTTTAAAACCCATTCAAAGTTGAGAACAAAGCACTCTTCTGGTAAATAATACTCTATTATTACATATTGGTTATTTATACAGTACTCATATTATCCTACACAATTTTTCAGCAGTGAGCAAACACTCAAGATTCCTTTATGTAACTTATTTCCTGCTGTTAATATGTATCAGAGTCAATACTATCACCAGATATTTGACAGTTGAGATGAATGAAGCCTAAGTACTTCAAAAGACATACATGTTAAGCATATTAAAAATATTTCAGAACAATGCTTGTCAACAGGTGATAATCTGTGGTGATGAAAGCACTCTAAGAACTTAAGTAGATGAAATCAATACAGAAAACAGACCAGATGTGATGCTGCGCGTGAAGATAAGCAATTCCACACTGAGTAAAGCCACTTCTCCTTCTCCTCTGCCCAGTTCAGCCATACAGAAGTACGGTAGCGTAGTCAAAGCTTTAGTCTCTCACCAATTTAAGCAAGGCAGCTTAGAAACTATTCAGTCAGTGCAACTACTTCTACTCACACTGTGAAATCAGTTTATTTCCAATTGCGTCTGATTAGGTAAATACAACTTGCATGCATACTTAAGGCATAATTTAAATCTGTCTGCAATACACACCTGCCACTATAAAGTGAACACTGGTGCAAAGCAAGCATCAGTGCAAAGCCAAGCTCACATTTACTAATACAAAGAAAAGCCAAACAAAGGAATAATAGCTATATATAATTATATGCATGAACAGGGATATGAAATTGGATCAGATGTCTGTAAAACAAAGCCTTTGAGCTTACGGACTTACGCACTCTTTTGCCTTTTGCTGTGGTCACACATGCAGAAAATTAGCAGTGGCCACAGCTTCTCCAGACACAGCGGTTACAAAAGTTAAATATTTGCCTGGTAGCCACATGCGAAGTCTCTAGTGCCTACTCTAGAGAATAAAAGCTCTAAACAACCCTGGGCACGCTCTGCCACGCTGCATGTTATGGTCAGGTCTACGCTAGGAAAGATTTGTGGAACAGCTACAACAACAAACCACCACAGCGCAAACAAAGCTTGTATCAGCCACCGTGCTAGTAAAACTGTACCTATGTAAGAAAACTGCTTTGAGCACACATGGAAGGAACACACCTCCAACTCAGTAGCACTAGCCTCACAAAACCTACTCTGGACAACAGCCACCGACTTGTTACCTTCAAGTGGGACTTCGGGGAACACGTTAGTTTAGCAGAAGCACTGTGACGCCGGGGTCTGTGGCCCCGCTACATAACCACAGTTACTTTTTCTGTTAAGCAGCCACAAGGATCCTTCTGCAGCTGCAGAATCAGAATCCACGTACTGAGGATGAGTTTTATTTTCTTTTTTGCGGCAGTATATTTTATGACAGTATTTCACAGAGCTGGAGAGCACAGGGCTTTCAGTTCAGCTGCCTTGCTGATGCCCCGACTTGCAGTTATTTTTGGACGCGTTAGCAAAACACCTTACCTTCGGCTGAGACTCCACATTACTGAACTTTAAAGTTTAGCAGAATCACCACCTTTAAGGCACTTGACCGGCCACCCATTTACTAAGGGTGAAATAACCCGCTAGATGCAAGCGCTCCCTTTAAAGCTTAGAAAAAGCTCCCGGGAGGATCGCCCGTCTACCGGCGCGCCGCCAAGGGCGGGAGGTCCGGCACGCTTTAACGAGGGAAAATTAAAACAGTTTGGGGGGAACCGGCGAGGACGCGACGGGGCAGCTCCGCTCCCCGCCCGCCGGGGCCGAAGGCAGC